GGCGTCGTCGCTGCTGTCCTCCTCGTCCATTTCAGCCTGACTCCGCTTGCCGCCTGAGCTGGGCGGAGGGCTAGCCACGCCGGCTTGGCGGAATGCGTGTGTGGGTTGCGCGCCTCTTGTCTGGGGTCGTCGGGTGTCGACTTGCTTGAAATTTGCCACTGGGGCTGGGTCCTGGCTCTTCGGGCCGTCAAACTGCGGCACGTGCTTCGTCTGGAACTGCGGTGTAGCGTCGTGCTTCCTGACTGGCGAAGGTCTGCCATTCGGGTACTTGAACGTCCGGTCCGAGTCCTTCTCGTCCGCGCTACTACTCTGCGGATCGTCATCCGTCGCCACGTCTCTCGAAGGTTTCCGGAAGACGTGTTCAGCGCCGTGGAGGCTATTCGTCGAAGATGCAGGCGTGGGCAGCTGGAATCGCGGAGCAGCGCCATCGGGTAGACTGCCGTCCTCGTGGTCCTCGCTACTGGCGTGCGGCTTGCCCTCGACCGTCCGGAGAAGCTTGGCAGTCTGCCGCCTCAAGAGAGGCATGACCGTCGAGACCTGTGAAGCTGCTATCGCGATAGCTTTATCCGAATGGGCATAGGTGTGCGCATACCCGGGCTGTCAGGTCTGACCATCGGAAGTCGCGACCTGATGCGCTAGCGCGCTTTCGATGCCTTGGCAATCGCGCGATCGCGTGACTTGCAGCTCCGGATCTTGCGACACGCATCCTGATCGTCTGACGCGCATCGATTTGACGGCCAAGATTGCACGGTATCTAGTAGTGTCTACCACGACGATCAGCATGAAGAAGACCTCTTCTGCGCGACGAGTGCCGCGCACAGTCGGGCGAGATGACGATGAGGACCGGCTGGGAGAAGATGCGCCGCGGACAGCAGGTACGTGCACCCCAGATCTACTCCCTCGATATCACATGTCTGACACCCTTCGCCAGCTGCCAACAGTAGCTGACCGAAGCATGGACAGAACCCGCGATCAAGCGACCCCTCATCAAGCCTCGGAAGTCCACCAACCTGCGCAAAGCCTTCACAGCTACCGACGACGACGATGAAAGCAGCGAGCCGACCGGAGTCGTCACACCTAGACGCAGCAACGTCGCCAAGACAGCGATCCAGCGGAATGCCGCCAAGCGCGCAGTCCAGCTCCCTCCGCGACGCACCGACGACGCAGACGATGACGACGACAAGCCCAGCTATGACCTCGCCGCGCTCAACGAGCTCAAAGCCAGTACACCCTCCACGCCCCTCGACCTAGCCTCCGTCTCCGACGCCGAGGTCTCCGTCCACGATGTCTCGCAGGCGACCCGCGCCCTGGACCTGTCCTCCAAATTCGGCGCCTCACTCGCCCGCTACCAGCCCTCGCCAACCCCCTCCGCCATTCCTTCCGCGACCGAGATCGCGGAGAAGAAGGCCCGGCGCGCGCGACTGGCCAAGGAGCACGCGGCGGAGGAGTACATCTCGCTTGATCCAGACGATCCTTCGCTCAACGCAGATGAGGAGGATGATGAGAACGTGGAGACGGACATCCATGGTCGGCTGGTGCTGAAGGCCAAGGACAAATGGGGCGAGTCTGAAAGCCGGCTGGTGAAGGAGGACGAGGACTTGCTGGAGAACTTCGAGGACTTTACGGAGGACGGGAAAGTGCTGCTGGGCCGGAAAGCGGAGAAGGAGGCGGCCCGGCGCAAGAAGGAGGAGATGGCCGCGCAGATTGCGGCCGCGGAGGGCGAGGCATCTGACGACTCGGAGGATGACGCGGAGAGGGAGCGCATGGCAGCCTTCGACGCGCAGCAGACCCGCCACGGGACCTACGCCGCCGTCCACAACGCCACGCCCCTGGACCCTTACGCCAACCAGCGCGCCACGACCCCGCCGATCATCTCGCCCATCCCTACGCTCGACGGCGTGGTCACACGGCTCCGGACGCAGCTCGCGGCGATGCAGTCCCAGCGCGCACGGAAGCTGGCGGAGATGAGCGCGCTGCAGCGGGAGAAGGTCAGGCTGGCGGAGGAGGAGGTGCGGATCCAGCGGGCGCTGCGGGAGACGGCGGAGAAGTTCGCGGCGCTGCGAAGGGAGAAGGGGATTGAGGGGGTCGCGGCGGTGGGGGGTGGGGAGGCGTCTGCGGGGCTGCTGCTTGCGCCGGAGGGGCAAGATGGGGTAGAAGATGAGGCGGGCGATGGTGATGCAGATCAAGACGCTTCGGGGCTGAACACGAATGGCGAGGTTGGTGGAAATGGCGATGGCGACGTGGGAAACGGGGAGGCTTCCGGGCCTGGGCACGCAGGTCTTGGCTTTGCGGGCATGAACGATGCGTCGGGGCTGGGACTTGGTATGGGGCGGCTGCCGGCTGCGGAGGACGACTGGTGATCATGTCATGTGCAGACATATTATATTCGAGTATCTGCATGTTCATGACGGGGTAGGTAAAGGCCCGCAGATTGCTCGCACTGAGTGCTCCACGAGCTCGGAGCCGAGCATGCAAGGGCGGCTTGGTGTCCAGCGTGCTCGGAGAGTTACCCGTGATCGACAACGCTGTGACCGCCAGACTCTCCTCCTTCAGGCTTTCGTGACTTGCCTTGCGTCGATCGAGACACCGCGTGGCACGTCTCAAGTGTTGCAGAAGTCTTGGCTTCCCTCGTCTCGGGCTGCTCAGAAGCCTGCCACCCGTTGGTCCTCGCCTGAAGGTGTCTTTCTACTATCCCGATTGTGACTTGCTGCTGAGCCCGTGATGGCGCTCACCCCCGGCGCTGTATTTGCACGCTGGCGGCGCGTTTCGGTGAGACCATTGTCCACAGTGCTTTGCGGAGGTCGTCTGCGATGGGCTCCGAGGCCTCGTGTGATCCCAGTCCGTATCGCCGAAGCGGACGCACTCAGCCAGACAGCTCGTCCTTGCGCCTCAGGATGCGCGAGTGCCGGTCCACCTCGACCTGGATGTCCTTGAGCTTCATCTTCTCCAGGTCAAGCTGCATCTCCTTGCCGTCCTCTGGTACAGTCTCGTCAGCACACCCCGTCTCTCCACCAGCTGCCTCAGACCTCGACGGTGAGACATACTGAATTTCAGGCTCAGCGCCGCAGGCTTGTCGGCGTCGGCCTGCCCGAACATCTTCACATCGATGGCCATCTTCGACCGCGCGTTGGGCGGGAGTAGCGCGAGGAAGTTGCGGATCATCTTGCCGGAGCGCGCGTTGAAGGGGGAGAAGGCGGTGGTGACGCCGGTGAGGTATTTGGTGAGCATTTCGACTGACAGACGGCTTCTACTGGCACCGCATGGTAATCTATTCGTGATGGAGGATGCAAGCACTGCGGCGACCTCGGGAGCGGCCGTATCGGAAATGCCCGCCCGCCGCCGGGGACCTGCATATCGCGTGGCGGAGCTTGTGTCGCCAACCAGCGCCGAATACGAGGCCAGCGTCTCATTTCGGCTGACACCCCCAGTCAGGCTGCAGCGAAGGATCTCACGTAAGTATAAGGAGTACGCCCGGTCGTTTCGTCTTTCGCGCTTCGCTATTATTCCTTCAGGCACTTCACGAAGACCACCACACTCGCTTCCAAACGACTTGATCCCTTTCCCTTCTTCCATACGCAACAGACAAGAGTCACTACGAATACCTTCTTACGAGCAGTCAAATCTTGTACAACATAATGCCTTCCTTCACCTCTATCATGCTGCCGGCCGCTTTGGCTGCGCTGGCTCTTGCGAAGACTGACCTGAGCGGCTGCACCTCGACCGACGTCTCCTCCCCTGCTGGCGCTTCGCTCGCATGTACGTCCTCCATACAAAGACTCAGCATCAACCTTGCACGCACTGACAGCATACCACAGGGTACGTCCCCGGCACGGGTGAGATCTGCGAGTTCCTCGACTGCGGCGGCGGGCGCGCGCCCCCTAAGACCGACGTCCCGGGCTGCGCCGCCTACTCCGGCACGGCCTCCTACTCGCCCTCCTACAACACCGCCTGGGCCAGCGCGACCGCCGCACCCTCCACCACGGCCTCGGCGACGGCCACCGCGACCTCGACCGCGACCAGCGCGCCGTGGAGCGCGTTGGAGTCCGACAGCGCGTCCAGCAGCTGGGACCTCTACACCACCTCCGCCCCGGCCGGCCTGCCCGCCAGCTACTCCAGCGCGTGGGCGTCCGCCACCAGCGTCGTCGCGGCGAACCTCTCGTCCGTGGCCGCGTCGGCCAGCTCGGCGTACATCTCCGCGTCCGCGTCGGCGTACTCGTCCTGGACCTCCGCCCTGGGCAACGGCACGGTCGTCGCGCCCATGGCGACCGTGAACGGCACCGCCATCGTCGTGGCCACGACCTCCGCGGCGGGTGCGGTCAACAGCACGCTCCTGCTCAGCACCACCGCGTCCTACGGCTCCGCCTCCGGCGCCTCGACCGCGACCAGCTACGCCTCCGCGGCGGGCACCACGGGCTCGACGGTTGGTGGTGCTGCGTCGGCGACGACGGGTTCTTCCAGTGCGACGGTGAGCGCGGTCAATGCGGCCGAGACGGCGAAGGCGTGGATGGGCGCCGGGCTCGTCATGGGTCTGGGCGTGGTCGTCGCGGCGCTTTGAGTCGGTGCTTGAGCATGCGTTGCTGGGGCGCGGAGTTGGGATGAAAAGCATTGCGCTCGAGGCGAGGGTAATGGAGGTCTCCTGTTGTAAGCGATAGTAGCATGACATATTCCCTCGTCATCATTATTGCCACCGGCCACCTCGCTTGCCTGACCATGCGTGCACTGCTGTGACTTGGCGGCAATTTCTCGGTGTGTTGGCGGCCTATGCTCCGTCATGTGTGAATTTAGAGCATTAGCACAACTTCCAGCTGCACGAGCCCATCAAAGGAAGGTAATTCAAATCACAAGGCTGCTCCCCCTCGCGGTCCAGAGTCAATTCGGTGGGCGAAGCGTCTGGAGGCTGCGTGAAGGTTCGCGTGGTCGCGGTAGTGTCGGTGATGAAAATGCAAGATCATAGTAGATGTGTAGGATTAGGTCACCATTCGAAGCTCACTGCTTCAATGTCCCTCGTGGCGCAATTGGCTGTTCGTGATTCCACGCCATCCACCTGACAACACCGACTAACCTTCTACAGAGCGCGTTTGACTGTTAAAGCTCAGGCTAGAGCAATCAGGAGGTTGGTGGTTCAAGCCCACCCGAGGGAGTAGAGTGGAGTGAGAGTACAGACATGTGCTCCGCAACTTCTTTTGCCAATCCATGCGCGCACACACGAAATAGAGCTTTTGCTCCCTTCCTTTTACTCAGCTCGATCGAAACGATTTGCCGTCTACCCCATTCCTTTTAGTTAGACTTCCATTCACCAGTCTATCCTAGTTCTCCTCAATTTGGCGGGTGATCATCATCAATGTGTAGGATCTGAGATATCCTACTACATACCCTTAAGGTGCCAGGTTGCACAGTGAGTGACCTCCCATGTATTCACGGCAGACTACCGAAACAGCGGTTCGTCATCTCAGATCTGTATAGCAGTGTGCTCAGAGCAACAGGCGGCGGTGCTGCCATCAATTCGGAGCCGGGTCAAAACGCTTCGCACGATGAGACAGCCACCGAAGTCTATCAATCCTACCCGGAACACCTACCTCTTAGCACTAATCCGAAACGCGCTCGAGGGGCTACAGAACGGTGGATGATGTGCATACACATACGCCTCTCATCGCAGCATACCTCGCGCGAGCCTGACACCACGCAGAACTTGCGCGACTGCTCCACGCACAGCGATCACAGCCCGCAGGCGATGGACAGGCAGGTCCGGTTGGCATTACTTCATTCAACCCATCAATCACCATCGCGTGGATCCAACGGTCAGAGCATTCGTGTATTCCTGGACGCAGTCTCAAGCCTGTCACAGATTCGCATCGCCGGTCTGATGGCGAGTGGCGATCGTTTGAGATCTGTCGTCGCGGAAGCAGTACATGAAAGGTTGGTTGTCTACCTCTCTACTCACGCCTCTCATCTCGCTCTTTCTCGGACTGACCAATAGACCTATACTTCTTCGAACATGCTTTCCATCATTTCGGCCAGCGCTGCGCTGTTGGCATTTGCTGCTTATACTTCCGCGCAAACCTGCGACTCGTACGGCCTGGACTTCCAGAACGGCGGCTCCTACTTCCAGAACAGCCTGTCGAGCGACCCCTTCACAGCTTTACAAGAGTTCGAGGGCTGCCAGAACGACACGGCCAACAACGTCTTCGTCGACCCCAACGGCGACCAGAGCCAGTGCTCGGACTCGGCGCTGACGCCGGACGATACGCCGCGGCTCATCACCTGCGCGGACTGGCCGAAGAACAAGCTGTTCAATGGGGACTGGTCGCTGTTGATCATTTCGAATAATGGTAACGGCGACCCGATCGCTTATGAGCGGGACTTCTCCCTCTCCGTAGGCCCGCAGCAGACGACAACGGTGTCGACCACGGCTACGATCACGAACCAGATCACGCCCGTCGTGAATATCACGCAGACTAGCACTTCCATCGCTACGACGACGGTGCCTTCGAGGACGACGACGATACAGACTTCGGTGCAGCCTACGACGATTACGCCTGCGCCGAGTACTGTCAGAGTCACGAAGGGATTGATCACGCTCACGCAGGTCGTGGGGAGTGTGTCGGCGGCTACTACGACGAAGACTGTGCCAGGTATGCCCTCACTCATAGAAGCGGTAATTGGTATCACATGAGAGACTGCCGCCAAACCACAGGACAGCCCGGTGGAGCAAGACTCACGCGTGGGATTGATCTTGGGTAGCCTCTCTATAGTGGGACTGCAGTCTCGAGGACAGCCGGCATCATTACGATACGTATGGGCCGACATGCTGACGGCTCTTCTTTTAGCATCGTGCTCCACAGCCAGAGGCACCCGCGTCCAAGACCCCATCGCCAAGATCGTCCCCACGATCCTGGGACAGCTGAACGACGTCGCTGCCGGGATCATCAATGGCCTGACAGGCACGGTCGAGGACGCGACCGAAGGCTTGATCGGCCTCACGCCCTTGAGCCAGCTGAAGACAGCGTCGGCGAAGTACAAGCGCGCCATCATCGAAGGCCGCACGCCGAGCGCCGAGCTCAAGCGCGCCTTTGTCGCCGAACGCCGGGAGCGGATGGGCAGGGTGCTGCGGAAGCGTGCGCCGGACGAGCCTACCGTCACGGTCACTGGTGCCGTCGCCACGTCAACGGTCGGGCAGACGGCTTCGACGAGGACGCAGACGGTTACCAGCGTTGTCGTGCAGACTTCGACGCTGACGTCTGGTGTGGCGACTGTGGGTTCGGGAGGGACGAGGAGTACCGTTGCGGCGCTGGCGTCGACACGCACTGTCAATGTGAATGTCCCTATTGCCGTTGTGACGAGCACACGGGTGAAGCGGGTCACGTAAGTCGATCGCCTCTCTGGGTGGATTCTTTGCTGTGCTGACTCGGGAAACAGGATTACGAATACGGCGACGACGACTTCGGTAGGTGCTGCTGCATCTTGCGCGAGCAGAGGAGGCCAGCTCGTCTAGGTAGTTGGAGTACGTATCGGGTCTGAGCTGGTCTGTAAGACTGGCATGCAGTAATTCTCATAGAGCGGTATACCGTCGGCCGTGTCTCCTCCCATGAGCATACGTGCTGCGGCATGATACTGTAGACAGATTCGCTCGCTCAGTCTCTTGCAGAACTCAATTGTACATGTTTACTACTGCCGAGCGGAGAACTATGTTATTGTTGTGGCAACTGCTGACAGGTCATAGCACCTCGATCACGCCATCTTCATCTGGAAGTCTGGGAGTCGACAATCGTAAGAAACTAATCGGTATATGTCTATCTCTCGCCTCGGATGTTAGCATCCGCATGGGCGAAGGACAACAGAGCTACCGAAGTGGGGATGGTAAGACCAGCTCCCACAACTTGTAGCCAGCGGTCCCCATGGCTACATCTTGACCCGTTACACCTCATTAGCACCGGGCAATCCACTGATCCCAGAGCAACTAGCAACTTGCAGATATGCCTGGAGTGCAAGCAGCCGCGCCTCCGGAGCTCAACATCCCGCCCTCACAACACACCGTCGATGTCTCCATCATTAACACCACCGGCCATGTCGGCAACATCCCCGTCCACCTGTTCATGAACCCGGCGGTGCCCGGCTATGAGTATATCGACGCTCCGTGCTACAGCTTCCTGATCAAGCACAGCAACTCCGATGCCAGCAGTAAATACGACTATCTGCTGTTCGACCTCGGGATCCGGAAGGACTGGGAGCAAGGTCCGAAGGCTGTGGTCGATCGTGTCAAGGCAAGTGGCTACACTGTCGAGGTTGAGAAGTATGTAGCGCAGATCCTTCGTGATAATGGTGACGAGCCTGCAAAGGTCGGCCGTATCATTTGGTCACACTATCATTGGGTGAGACTCACAGCTGGTCGACAGCAGGGTATGAGTTAACAGCTAGTAGGACCATACTGGCGACCCAGCCACGTTTCCAGGCTCGACTGACCTGATCGTGGGACCTGGCTTTAAGGATCGCTTCAATCCCGCATATCCGACTGTCACGGACAGTCCAGTTGACGAGGGTGCATGGCAAGGCCGTCACCTCCGAGAAATCGACTTCAATACCGAGGGCAAGGGCCTCAAGCTCGGCAGATACAATGCCTTCGACTTCTACGGCGACGGCAGTTTCTACCTAATTGACTCCCCGGGCCACGCGACCGGGCATATCTGTGGCCTAGCCCGCACGTCCGCAGATCCGCCCGAATTCATCATCATGGGCGGCGACATCGCGCATCACGGCGGCGAGTTCCGACCGACGCAGTGGCTTCCGATTCCCAATAATATCCAGCCGAGTCCGATGGTCGCGCCATTCGCCAGATCGGCTGCGGTGTGCCCGGGTTCGATCTTCGAGGCTATACACCCGCAGCGGAGCTCGATCGAGCCGTACATGAAGCCGGATGGCGCGATCCACGACCATGCCGATGGCGCCATGGAGAGCCTGGACAAGTTCACCGAGTTTGATGCCCAGGAGAATGTCTTTGCGATGATCGCGCATGACGGGAGCCTGCTTGATGTGGTAGACTTCTATCCCAAGCCCGCCAATGGCTGGCGGCAGAAGGGGTGGAAGGAGCAGGGGCGGTGGAGGTTCTTGAGGGACTTCGATACGTCCGTGGAGACCTCGAAAGCGTGAGTACGTGCGAAGTCATAGGATCTTTGTGTACCGCCGGTCATGATGGTAGCCCACTAAAGCTGAGCCACGGCGTAGAGCAGGCCCAGATAGCAGACCAGCCAGCCTTCGAGTCCAGACCCTTGTTCTGCGGCCGAGCTCGCAGTCGGGCTAGATGAGGAGACTTGAGAAGGGGTACCAACCAGCACGCTTTGGGTCGTGAGATCACTCTGCCTGTGCTCAGTACTGGGCTGCGCAATGATCGTAGCTGCTGGAGAACGAATATGAGAGGAGAGCATTGGTGTCGTTGTGCCCAGAGCGCTTGCGATGAACGGATCCGATGAACTACCAATTGTCTCTGTGGAGAACGACAGCGGCCCAGTATTGGCAGGCGAGTGAGAAAGACCGAGTAAGATGGCCGACGCTATCACTTCCCCTGCATCCGACGTGTAACTGGCGGGCGGCAATGTCGCGGTCCAGCTCTCATATCCCGCTGTAGTACTGTGAGCGAGTTGGGATAAAGACGAAGGATCGGCCTGTGGAGAGACTCTGTTTGGCGACGTATGCGATGCAGATTTGACCGACATAACTGTCACGCTTGGCAATGCGACTGAGCCCATTAGCCCGTTGATGTCCGGATCTTGGGCAGTGGAAGACGCAATAGCGTCTGTGACTGCTTGCATCGCAGACAGGAGATTGCCGATGTCGGGGTCCGCTTCAATCGTGGTAGAGAGTATTGACGTGCTCTCGAGTGTGACTCCGTTCAACGATGTGGGCGGCAACTTCGACGGCGCAGCTGAAATGACAGGATCTGGCTGAGAAAACGGGCTCTCCAACTCCGTGGTTTCCTGCCAGGCGCCGGCCGACTCCATGGATGGACTGCCATTCGCCGTGGTCTTCAGTGGCGACTTGCTGGTGGGCCCAAGTAGTGAACCTGAGCTGCTGAGTGGCGCGGAAGAAATGGCAGGATTCGCATTGCCCGACAGCAACGGTGTTGTCGCTGTAGCTGTGGCTGAAGTCG